TCAATAAATAAAAATCATTTATCAACAGTTTACCATGTAATATTATGTAGGTATACTTGCAAATTAGAAATTTACAAAAACACATGTTACTATACGTTAGTTCTTACATTTCATCACATACAACCATCATTTTCAACTAAATCATTTGAGTGTTGTTGAAATTCCTTAGCTTTAAATTGATCGATAATGTTTGGTGTGAAATTTTCTTACCGAATACCACTTTAGCTTCAATTAATTTCCGGAAATAATTGAAGCTCTCGTGATATTATAAGTGATAATTTGGTTCCTTGGATAATTAGTTGTGTTCTATCGACCTGAAATATTCTCAGCGCTGCGACGTTGTCGCTTATATTGAAAAGTAGCATCAACTTTGTTTTTTTTTAATGAGACACCCTGTATATCATTCCATTTTCAGATTCTCCCTGAAGATATGATTTCATCGATCTATCACACTTGGGGTCTAGCGTGAATGATAACAAATAAATAGGGTGTGAAAAATCGTGATTTTTCAACTTTAAATTTTTGGTCTCGAAACTATTCATAATTGGTCAAAACGGTTTTCATGTCCCTGTGTCAACTTTTCGGTTACTATCAATTGATATTTAATTGAAATAGATACAGTGTGGTCAAAAATGTTAATTCTGAACCACCCTGTATTCATCTCAATTGAATATCAATTATTGATAGTGAATAAAATGTTGAGATAGGGACATGAAAACCGTTTTGACCAATTATGAATAGTTTCGACACAAAAAATTCCTAACGTTGAAAAATCTCGATTTTTCACGTCCTATAACTCTGTAATTATTACTGCTAGACCCCAAGTGTTAGGAGTCAATGAAATCAGCTCTCCAGGAAGAATTTAAAAATGGAATAATATACAGGGTGTCCCATTCAAAAAATCAAAGTTGTTGCTACTTTTCAATATAAGCGGCAACGTCGCAACGCTGAGGATATTTTAGGTCGATAGAACACAACTAATTATTCAAGGCAACAACTCTTCAGAATAGTTTTGAGTTGCGTCCTCCAGAAACGTCTAATTTGCCATCCACCGTGTACACCCTGTATCAATTTTTTGTGAAACTTTCAAGGCCACAAACTACTCTTGTTCCTGAAATACAGGGCGAAAACGAAAATGTTTACTTTTGGAGATGTTATAATTTCTCAGGCCCCGTATAAGATGGAAAAAAAAACTGCATATATAATAGATATTTCTACATAAAAGTCAGTGGCGCATTCTGATTTTTTTTTTCAAAGCACTGTTTTCAAGATTGGGCACAAACTTGGTATTTTTTAAATGAAACACCCTGTATATTTCAACGTTTGCAATTTTCCTCCTGAATTCACTGATATATCACAACCTAATCTTTATCACATTTTATCTTCAAAAATCTGAAAAATCCATATTTGTGTTTGCTTTTTTAATAGTAGGCCGTGAATTCTTTCACACATGCATTTATTTATTACTTTCTGAAAACGCCATGTGATTTAAACCTATGTATTTGATTATCTTCTGATTATTAACTTAAAATATCACCCTTCAACATGAACTTGAAAATGATGAAAACAAAAAAAAATATATCGGTACAGATTTATCATTGAAAACTGTAATTACAAGAATAAAATTAAAAAATTAATTACAAAAACAAAAAACATATACATATGAATCTAATAAAATTGTTCAAACTGTCGTCCATTTTGTCTTATACATAAACCACATAAAGTTTCAATTCGCCTGGAAACATTTAAAATTATAAAGGGTTGCCTTTGTAAGTTTCAGAATGCTTCTTCCGTTGGGGCTCGGAGTTCTTATATTATTATGCCGATTTGCATAAATTTTATTTCTTAAGTATGACCAAACGAAGAAGTTTAAATTACTTAAGTCCGGTGACCTCGGGGGCCATCTGATTGGCCCGTGTGTCCCAATCCAGCGTCTACTAAAATGAGCACTCAAATATTCTGTAACTACCCTTGAATTATGAGCGGGCGCTCCATCTTGCTGGAAATATATAATTATGATGTCGCTGTGCCAAAGGTATGTCCTCGAGCAACTCTGGCATATTATTCTGTAATATATTTAGGTATCGTTGGGCAGTTAAGCTACCCTCAAAGATTGTATATACAATTTTAGTGCCCAATAAAAAACACGAAACACTAAACTCAAATCGGCCTTGTTGCTGTCGTTCAAAAGTGATATATGTTGATTTTCTTGATACCAATGTCTTGTATTCTGCCTATTAAATATGCTGCTTATAAGGGATTCGTCAGACCATATTACCTTTTTTGCGAAATCCGGATCTTCATTAGTTTTTGTTAAAAACCAATTAGAAAATTCTAATCGTTTGAAAAGATCGTCAGGATGCAATTCTTGAATAATATTTACCTTATACGGTTTGAATTTATGCATTTTCACAATTTTTTGCACTTTTGTTTTTGAAACTCCTACCTCTTCCTCTATTTTTCTACAGGAAATTTGGTGTCTTGCTTCCACACACGCTAAAACATTAATTTCGCCAGCTTCATTTCTCTTAACATGAGGTTGCCTAGGTTTTGAATAGCAGCCATAATTCAAAAGATTTGATTTTAACCGAAATACCGTAGCCCGAGATGGCTGACGTCTTTCTGGAAACTTTTTTCATTTTTTGAATTTTGTAACAAAATAAAATATGCCGATTCTTTACCTGTTCAAATATACCTGCATCGCAGCTTCGACATTTTCGTTAAAAAGGTTTAAACACTTGATAGTATCACACTTTTCCAAATTTTGAAATTTCATGTTTTCACCGTCAGTCATCATTATTGAATGGGCTTATAGCACAAAAAAATTTTATTTCATATTTCGATAGAACTCACCCAAACTAGCTCACCACCGCAAACCGTTTCTTGCTCTGAGCTCCCTACGTTTTATAAAAAATTATTGAAATCCCCGATTTCTCGGACCTCTGAAAACGAGGCGATGATGTGACGTCAAAAACCTAATACTAAGACAAGATTTTTCCAGACAGAAATGAATGATACATGATTCCTGACAGAGTGAATTAGCTCAAGATCACAGTTGAAAGAATTAAAATATCAGTTGCCTCAGTCTCCGTCGGGCGTTTGGTATTTTCTTTTAACTATGGCGAGATGAGGTTTCTACGTCATAAGAGGGTCCGTTTTCAGAAGGTACTATTATTTATGTCGAAAAATGAAACATTCCAGTTGATTTTTTGATCGAATTATGTCGTCAATCATTATTTATGTATAAAATGATCATTATAAACATGGTTTGAGTTAAAAGTTATACTAAGGTGTACTCGCCCATTGTATTGACTCTGTTTGTGACAGTTTCCATGGATGCAATAAACGAAACATTCTTTTATGCATGTGTGGAAGAATTCATGGCCCACTATTAAAAAAACTAACATATAGATATGGATTTTTCTGATTGTTAAAGATAAAATTTAATAAAGATCAGGTTGTGATATATCAGTGTATTTAGGAAAAAAATTGCAAAAAATTGACGTCAAAATATACAGGGTGTTCCATTTAAAAAATACCAAGTTTGTGCCCAATCTTGAAAACAGTGCCTAGAAAAAAAATCGGAATATGCCACTGACTTTTATGTAGAAATATCTATTATAAGCAGTTTTCTTTTTTTTTCCATCTTATACGGGGCCTGAGAAATTATAACATCTCCAAAAGTGAACATTTTCGTTTTTGCCCTGTATGTCAGGAACAAGAGTAGTTGGAATATTTCTGTTTGTGGCTTTGAAAATTTTACAGAAAAGTGATACAGGGTCGTGAAAACCGCATGTCTCTATCTTCAATAATAGCTGAGATATAGTGCAGTCTCAACCAAAATGGGACACAGGGTACACAGAGAAGTGCACAAGAAACGGCCAGGATTGTAACTTCTGAATTATTCTAGATAGAGTTTTGAAAATTGGTGGGTAGCAAGTATACCAAATTGCTCAATAATTGATGAAACAATTTTTTTATCACTTCCAGTTTCACCGGAAACGACCCCAACTTTTCATTTTTAAATGCGACACCCTGCATTGTACTCCATAATCGGTTAGGGTTGATCATGACGAATTCAGCCATCTAAATGTTATTGGCAACTTCTATTTAATGCTCTCCAGGAATCTCTGCTATCATTCCATCACTGGTAATACCAGCCAGACGACTACAAGTCTAGTCAAGACATCCTATTGTCGTCAACCTGTCGAACAGGTCTTTATCAAAACACGTGTGTCTATAGAACGGCAAAGCTTTGGAATTCTTTGACAAAGGAAGTATTCCCAAAAAGTTATGATTTCCAAAAGTTAAAAAAAAAATACTTTCTTCTTTCCCCTTATATACGCACGATGTTCTCCGAACATTATAGTGATTACCTTTCGTGCGCTCCAAGATATAATGAAAAGTATATTCTCGAAAGTTCTGTCTGATAGAATGTTCCTGCAACGAGTCTTTTAGGATTGTATAGTTTCGACGAGACGTCCGATATACATCTCCTAGAGTGAATATCACACGGCGTAGCTATGGATGCTTGTACATTGTTGTCTTACATGGGATATTCCTGAAGGACGTCCCTATTTGGTGTGAAGATGACATTCGTACATCCCACAGACGTCTTATTTGGATGTCCACGGATTATACCTTGAGCGTCGAGAATGTCCCAGAGGAACGTCCGAGGGAACTCCAAAAAAAAATCGTTATGGTCTCGAGCATCAGATATCGTTCAACATCACGTACATCCATGGAATGCTGCTGTTCATAACTCGCTCTAAAGTAAAATATTGTTTTGCTGGTGTTTTTTCCTGATGGATGTAACTTTCTTATTCTCAGATTCTCATCTATCGCATTTGATATATCATGAATAATAACTTTCGGTATGTCAACATCAATATTTTGGCATGGTGGCCCTCTCTCCATATTTCAACTAGTAAATTTCTGACTTTAATACACATATATATCTACATACTGCCTTTGTATGTATCTTGTATTTTTTGTTGCAGGAATAAAGTGTCCGGTATGCAGTAAGTTTGTGATTCCTGACGATATAGAATGCCATTTAGTGATGTGCCTAACAAAACCTCGGCTGTCCTACAACGGTAAGTTATTTTTTCTACGGCTATAACACAAGATTTCTCTTGTTTTATTGTGTTCGATACATCAATGAGGTACTTTGTATGTCATCAATTTTATTTCCGTATCTGATATCACAATGACACCATTGTGTTATTATTTGAAAAAAAAAACTCATTGCCCATGGAATGTCAAATTTCAAGCAATGACAGCTCTGTCTAATAGATGAGCATTACATTGAAATCAGATGGCTACAAGACGAAGAAATCGAAAATGCCGCTGTTATCTATTATAGCTGTAGAAAAATTATAGTGTATAACAACAAGACCGTCATTGTCGTGGTGAATCGAGAAATAATGACATCACATCGGCTTGTCAAATTCAAATAGGCAAGTATTAAGTATTCGTTCAGAAACAGCACCATTCTACTTCTTTGTGAACTGCACGCCAACGCAGGAGACTTATACCGTACTTAATCTTCGCAGTTTAAATCGCCTTTGAAAATGAGAATGCATTGTTCGTCATTCTTCATTCGGAAGTGACCTTAAAAAAACAAAGAACTGGCATTGAGAATTATTTGCAGAACCCAACAATTGGTTTCATCTACACCTCGGTCTACACCACATAACTAAAACACAGAGGAGAAGGAAATGACAAATCCCAATCGTGTTCCTAATAGGAAATCAAATATGGCGGAGATAGCCCCTTGGCACGTCCAGGCACGTCTGTGCACTGACTCGTGCTCAGAAACGGCGTCATTGTAATTGTTGCTCCACAGCAGTTGTTAAAATTTGAATTTGCTTCAACGCAAGTTATCGGAATAGAAAAACAATCAGTTTTTTTCCGGATAAAGAAAGTGAAATCAAAATTATATACCTATAACTGAAACACAACATTCCTACATTCGTTTTCAGCTTGTCTTCATTTTTTTATCTGAAAAAGAGTAGGTACCAACTCAAATATCAACTTGATGTGAATTTTATTTGAATAATTAACATTGACCCTTATACATAAAGTTCATTCACACACAAGTGCTGAAAAATTGTTTTTTTTTTCATAAATCGAACACCAAGTAGTTATTCAAAAAGTAATGAACGAACCTGTATACATGAATTCTTTTAATCAGCTCCATATTTTTCTCAGGGGTATGTCTTCAATCCAGCTCGATATACATTTTGCATCAACAACTCCCCTCCTTTTAGAATCACAGATACTGGTAGTCCAATTACAAAAACGATATCTATGTCCAGGATAAACCAAGAATTGGTAAAATAAACAGAAAATACGTGGAAAATCGAGGTACTCAATACTCTGTGTCCATTCAGTCGAAGTTCCGTTTTGCGAAGAGAAAATAATGAAACAAATGCTAACAGACTAAGAAACAACGTGTTATTAGGCCTTATTTTAATACGCAGAAAAATACACCTTTTTCTGACAGTTGGTCACTTTTTATTGTACAACAAAAAAAATAAACAAATTTTTTACAGAGCGGCAGCATAAAATTACTGAATCAACGAATGTGGTTCAGAGACAAACGAAATTTTATCCGATAATTCCGATTATTTAGTAAGATCCATGGTAAAAATTGTTAGCACTTGTGATATTTAGAAAGTACCGAGTATCGCTTAGTTAACCCGTAATGGTTTATTACTGATGGAACAGTAAAAATGTATTCTAAAAAACACGAGACCCAGAGAAATTTTTTGTGATAGTTGTTTATCTTTGTGGGGTAGTTTCTGAATCTGTCAGCGGCATTAAAAAATCAACTGAATTATTTCATTCAACAAAACTTGAGGAAAACAACATTTTTCTAAATTGATACAATTGAGTCCCCCTACCTCCCCACTTCGTTTGACCCATGACTTATGGGACACCCTGTATAATGGAATCAATGGAGAAATAAAAATAGCATGGTTCTGAAAATTTGTAGGCACCGTGAAGAAAACAACTAATATAAGTGTGAAACAAAGTTTTGCAGCTTCGGGACACCCTGTGCTAACTGTGTGGTGGTCGAAAAACCTGGGAATTCATCTCACTGATTTGTTTTTTGTCCAAACGCCTGAAAGGGTACTTCCTACTGAAAAAGTCAAGCCATTCTTTTTTGAAGCTGTGAAAGTTTTCCGAAATTTGAACAAACCTAGTTTTTTAGTTCCGATAAGTCCCCAGAACAGAATTTCAAAAATTAGATTTTTTTTTTCAAAAAGTTAAGAATTTCATTTTTTGTCACCTGTCGGGGAATTTTGGTTGTAATACTCATTCTACGGGAGAATTCACTGTAAGTGAAGCTGGAGACCACGTATTCAGCTCTAATTCAAGCCTAGAACGAAGTCTTTAGTCTCAACAGATACCACGTTATATCATAAAAACAAAAGTTGATGACATCGGGAGTGGAACAGATCGGGACCAGAGAGAATAAAACATATATTCATTGATAAACGAACTTACTAATACTGAATCAGTTAGTCAACATTGGTGTGTATAAGGTACAGAATCCACCTTTTACGCAGCATTCACTCCTGGGAACACCCCAATAACACATGACACATCGTTTGTTGTAGTTGATGGAGGTTACTTCCTTCAGAAAGTCGCGTGGCACCGTGGTGACTCGATCAGGCCTATTGTAGCAAACTACATTAGGTATACATTCAACCATTATGGATGGAATGTGGCAAATGTTTTTGACGGGTCTCCAGAGGATGGAGCTGCACAGAGCACCAAAGCTGCTGAAAGACTACGTCGCTATGTAGCAATCTTCTTGCAGAGATATATTTTTGAACAGTTTATATCCATCAAAGTGCGTTACCAATAAAAGAAACAAGCGGCGCCTGATCGAATTCTTCGGCAGCGAGATGGAAAACCAGCGGTATACAAATCTACAAACAAGCAGCAGAGGATGCTAACTGATTGATTGTGCAGACAGTCATAGTATTGAGACGGTTATCATCATTGGAGAGGATGTGGATCTACTGGTTCTTCTGCATAGATTGGACTCCAACTTTGACAGCATGATCTTCCAGAAAAGTGGCGGTGGTGAGGGTAGTTGTCAACAGTTCACTTCTTCGAGTTTCAAACGAGTAAGCTTGTCACACTGCCCTGGATTTGAATGTTCCTCCACGCATTCACCGGCTGTGGCACCACCTCTGCTCTTCTTTGGCAAGGAAACATGAGAATGATGTCTGTCTTCCAGAAAAATTAACACCTTGTTGAAGACACCAAGTAGCCCAGTCGGCAGGTGGTGAAAAAGGGGTGTCACGATGAAAAATTCAGAAGTTGATGAGATTTTAGTATGTAATTTGTACATGTTTAGTGATGTCAAATCCAAGTTTTCGACCTCGAGGAGGTTGTGGAAAATTTTTGTCGGCCAAAAAACCTCGAAATTTTCGGACTTGTTTCAGGTCTTCACCTATTACTCGAAAACTGTCAATCGTACGTAAAAAAACATCGTATACCAAATTAAAGAAGACAAAATTCCCCGTTGAATCACGAGACAAAAACTGAAATCGGAGCTGTAGTAAAGTTTTCACGAGCGATCGAAATATGGTGATTATTTCGAATTTTGGTAAAACCTGCCATAACCCCATTTTCAAAGTGCTGCATCTTTTTTATTATTCATTTCAGGAAAGAAAGTTATTCCTCTTGAAAAGTTCAGTATGTTCTAAAATCTGAAATACAATCATCCGATATCATTTTTTTTTCAGTCTAATACACGGTGTGTCAAATATAAAGGTACTTTACTCTTGGGTACAATTCACATTTTTTGACACACCGCGTATATGACTGAAAAAATTTGATATCTGATGATTGTATTTCAGATTATAGAATATGCAAAACTTTTTATGAAGAATAACTTTTTTTCCTGAAATGAATTATAAAAAAGTTGTTTTCCATATGGTATATATGGTTCCAACTTAATGAAACATAGTGTATTTAGGTAGAAATAAATCTCAAGAATTTATTGTCCTTACACAACCTGTTACAAATTCTGTTATATGGAAACCGTCAGAGATAAAACAAAGTTCAAAGGGAGGCAAAGTTGCGTAAACAGAAGTCCAACAAAATGCAGTTAATAAATCAAAAAATAAAACCGCTTATTTTAGGAGATATACGTCAGAAAATCAATTTGATATTGTCATTCTGTATGACGTAGGGCATTAGAAGTACCAATGACCCCGAGCGAGAAAACCTTGATGGACTGCGATACAAAATATTCACCAAGTCGGTGTCAAAATAAGCTAAATTTCAACTTGCCAGGCTTCCACCTACTAGTGATGCTGGTAGGTATCATTCCTTCCGTACATACCAGCAGGTACAAACTTGATGGTTAGGAAACAACAAGATCCCTGCAGATTGGGGGTGGTCCCTAACAAAGCAAGGAGTGGTACCTATTACCACTACGAAGAATGCAGCCCCTGAGTCTCTCCTAAAGATTGTTGCCTGCAAGTGTGCCAGAGGCTGCAGCACCGCGGCCTGTAGTTGCAAGAAGGCAGGCCTGCGGTGCTCAGTTATTTGCAAGCACTGCTCCGGCCACGCCTGCGAGAACTCGCGCGTGCCAGAACTCAATGAGGACGACGAAGAGGAGGAGGACGACCTCCTGGAAGATCTCATCGCCCAAGAGGAGCACGAACTTGAGGACGACGACGTCGTCGAACCTCAGCCAAAAGGGTCTCGACTCAATCAATGTATGTAATTATGTATCTCCATTCATTATTATTTATTAGCGTTCTTATTTTTTACATGAAATATTTCATTGTTGCCTTTTTTCTCGCAGAACAAAACCTTCGAAGACGCGATATGAAGACTGATGCAGATACATTATGTTTTATATAGTATGTAGATATGTGTATGTTTTTTATGCTACCTACTAATGAATTCTTCGTAAATATATTTTTTCACGTAATTACATTTATTATCTATTGGGTATGACATTGTTCTCCGTCAACCATAATTATTTTCCTAGGTATCAATAAAATTGAGACGGAATCACAAGGTGATCATGGGTCATTGGGATCATTTACCCCAAGTAAAAAGCATAGAATCAATAGGTAGCTATTTTCGAGAAATGCTAATTTTTTTAAAACAGTCCCGACAATTTCAAAAATTGAGCTGATTTCAAAATGTTAGTGCATTTTGAACTCTCTGATTGATTATCTGAAAACTCTAAGAAGGGAGGTTGGAAAAAAAAGTAATTTTGTAAAGATACGGCACTTTGAAAATGGGGGCAGTGTTTACCAAAATTGGAAATAATCACCATACTTTGATCGCTCGTGAAAACTTTATTACAGTTCCGATTCCAATTTTTTTTCGTGAGTCGACAGGAAATTTTGTCTTCTTTAATTTAGTATACTTTGTTTTTTCACGTAGGATTTACCGTTGTCGAGTTACAGGTGAAAAACTGAAACAAGTCCGAAAATTTCGAGGTTTTTTGGCCGCCAAAAATTTTCCACAACCTCCTCGAGGTCGAAAACTTGGATTTGCCATCATTAAACATGTACAAACAACATACTGAAATTTCATTAACTTCTGAATTTTCCATCGCTAAAACTACCTGCCGACTGGACTAAAGGGGTTCTTGTTGCTTGATTCCATCCACGAAAAAATAGAGTCACATAGGAGAAAATGCCTGGTGGCCCTTTATGGGGGAGGTTCCGAAGATGACATTCACAACCGATACGATTTATTCGTCAGAGGCACTGCCAACGCAATGGTCAATCTGGGTCGTCTGTCCCCAACCAAAGAAGTTGCTGCTCAACAATGCTATCGCTCGTACCACCAAGTGCAGAAGTGGTTGGGGGGTAGATAAGGACCCATCCAACTGGGACGAGTAGGAGCAACCAGAGGCTATTTCATTCACAAACACTGCAGATCCTGTCCCACACTCCTCTCAAATTCCTGTCTTATGAAACGCCGCAGGAAGAACTTGCTCATGCCGACAAGCAGGGCTTAGATTGCTCGAATCTATACAAGTTCTGTCTAGGTCAAGACTTGCGTGAACGTCGTCCCTGTTACAATCGACGACACTGACGATAAGGAAGACCTTGACCGTCCCCTACCTATATCACCATCTCCCAAGAATCCGCTGTACTGGATTCCGGTTTTGATCAAAATGAAGTTGCGGAATTATGCATTTTGAAATTGAAAATTTTACTCATATCAATTTTTTTCAGAAATTTCATAACCCAACTTTCAACATAGAAATGCAGATTCGTTCGCGAAACATCCAAAGATGAGTAAAAATTCGATATTTTTTCGATATACATATCTTTTCTTCAGACATTTTTCAAAACAAAGTGCACCTGACCAATGACGGTATAACCCGTCAGACAGTCTAGATATTCAGGCGTCATTGCACTGACGATTGGATTTTTCTTCTAGGATCTCTGATAGAGAAATTTTTAAAGGCAGTGGCATTTTGGGGCAATCATCTGATTTGTCCTACTATATATATTGAAATAACACTTATATTTTTATTTTAAAGACACGAGGAGAGAAAATCAAAAATAATCCAGCAAGTTCTAGTTCTAATCAACTTCTGTATACCCAAAACCCATAATTTCGTGATATTCATAAATAGTATACTTTCTCAACTCCTAGCTTAACTCTGCATGATAACTGCCTCAGAGTTTGTATGTTTCTAGTAGGCAATGCAAAATATCTGTCCTGTCAACAAATGAATTAAAGTTGTTCACTGTCAAATTCTTCATCTGCATAAGTGTAACACGGCTTGTGATGGGTATAACAATCAAGATTTAATTTTATTACATTCGCTTTGAATCACCTATACCTACACTAAAAAATTCTTAATTATTATACCCAACACTAGCCATATTTTGCACCTTTGCAGATGATGAATCTCTAATTCATTTGTCGATAGATATTCTGCACAGCATACTAGAAAAATCCAAAATAACAGGCAGTCATTGCAGAATTAAGTACTATTTATGGAATATCTCCGAAACTGAATTTTTGTCAGATTTGATCAGAACTAGCGTTTTTTTCAATAACATTAATTATGAAAAGAAAAAATGGGGTTTTCATTTAAAAAAGATTTTCAATGTTTCACATTCACCTTTTGGACCCATTTTTCTGTGCACCCTCTAAATTATTCATTGGTTGTGATTATGGTGAGTAATCCGTTCAAACTTGAATATTCATAATTCAATTACTGCATATCACTAGAAATTTTAATTCACATGAAAACTTGGTATGTTCGATAGGCTGCATTTGCCAATTTTTCTTGAAATACTCGGATACTCGAAAACTATTCATTTTAGGTGTAGGTTATGGAGTGTGACAATCATGAACATTATGGAATACAGGATGTCCCATTGAAAATAACAAAGATGTTGTCACTTCCGGAAAATCCAAAAGCTTTACAATAAGGAGAATATCTTAGATGGATTCTTCCTGCTTTCTTCACCGCGCCTACAAATGTTCAGAATCATGCTACTTTTGGTTCTCCATAAATAGATCGCGTTAACTCATGAAGATATACCCTGTATATTTTCAGAAGATTTTCATCTTGGAAAAATACAAAATGGTACTCACCCTGTATAACCTCATTTAATATTTTTTTAATTATCACTCACTTCAAGAAATCATTCCTGATGATCGCTTGACGCCAAACACATTTGACATGGCTTGTAATGAAGTTTGTTCCTGTTTTCATTGATATTCTGAATATAACAAGGTATACACACAACCTAATTTGTTGTACTATTTAAAAAGATTCAGCTTAAATGTTTTTTTATTTTTGCAGAAGATACTCTGACTGGTGATAAAGGAGAGTGTGTCATATGTTTAGAAGAGTTGAACCAAGGGGATGTAATCGCTCGCCTGCCTTGCCTATGTATATATCATAAGACGTAAGTTTCTAAGTTATGATGATTTCTGCTTTTTCGAAATAACATTTGTCATAGTTGATTTGCTTGTGAGAAATGTGTACAGGATGGTCATTATAATTTTATTGATCTTTCTATAATAAATAATAATGATAAAAAAATGTTTGATGTACCTAACATGTTTTTATTATAAGGGACTAAAAAGTATGAAGTAATTTCTCTAATCCTTGTGAAGGATAAAACCACATACAGATTTCTAACTATTTCTAAATTATCCTGAACTGAAAATCCATATAGGTGCTTGGCAACATTTGATAGTGATTAAAATACTTGTATGATTGGAAATGAAGATAACTGATACATTAAAATCAACTAACAATTTTATTACACCACAATTAATGTGAACCGATAATTAAGTTATTTTATTGATAGCTAGGTACTATGTAATGCATGTGCCCTATGTTTTTCGTTTCCAATCTTGGGAGTATTTTTATAGCTATCAGAAGTATAAAATTTCAACAGTTATATCATGATGTTCTGAATAATCGAGATAAATCTGTCGCTTGTGGTGCGGTAACACAATTGAGTTAACAATATGAGACAGAATTATGAGATGGTATTCAGAACAGAGTTGTATTTTGTTAGTCTATTTCACGGAGCATAATAAGCATTTATTATAAATAAACAAAAACGGGCCATATAAGTGAAGCGATTCATTCCGACATCTACAGCTCTTAATTATTATGTCAAACTGACATACCTACTTTTCTTCGCTATCCATGGTTACATCGTTGAAAACATCAACGCTGATAGACCCATTTATGAGAGACAGCTAGTGTTTTCGCGATAATACAAGTTGTCTTTGGCTTGGGATGGGTCAGATTATATGAGAATTTTGAGATGAGTGAAATAGTAAAGATAATATAGGAAAAGTTACAAATTTGTATGTGGTTTTATCTTGCATAAAGAATAGAGAAATTATTTTTTAATCTTTAGTCCGATTCAAAAACAGGGAACATTTTTTTTCTCATTATTATTTCCTGCTATTTAGGGTTATGTGACTGTAATTTCGAAAATCATTTCAAATACTTTGATGACATCTTTACATGCGATATATTTCAGTTTTATTTCAGTATTTTTTTCTTCTTCTGGTAATATCATCTGAGATAGGACAATGTCATTTTCCTAGGACCACCCAGGAAAGCAGCATATAGCACACGGTATTGTTGCGCAGAAATTATCCCATATCACCATAGCAACGTGAAAGTGAAAATGAACAGTATGGGATTATTCCATCACGCTCACATGATCTTTGTTTGGTCTATATAATGTATGGATGATTATGATACTGAATTATCATATTTTAATACTTACTATCATTGTATATACATTCATTTTCTTTAGAGTTTAAATGTTGCCCCATGAGATTTAATAATTGTTTTGATTTTGTTATCTGTCATTGTCATAATCTGCGAGACATAACCTCATTGCTGTCAATGCTGTCATTGCTGTCAACACCGGTGGGGTCTATACACCGTCGTGACTTGCAGTCTGGTGTATTTTCATCATTAATTTCATATGATCGTAGGAAAAATAGTGTACATAACTCGTTGGAAGTGTATTTCATGTACTCGTTACATTTCCGCATTCGCCGCTATGCGGCAATGTGCTTCGTATCACTTGTGCGAAATATGTCACTTTACACATTAGTGATGTAATATACTATTCCATTTACCAATAATACATCAAACTATTCAATTATTATTTTGAAAATAAAATATCAAAGCAAGCAAATATTTTCTCATTAAACTCATATTCAAATATTAAAAACAATCAATGTCAAATCCCTTTGTCAAAATTCTGAATATAACTCTATTCATGATGCTTGAGGTCGCATACGATCCATTTCCCTAATTGCATTTTTTCCATAGTGTCTTGCCGGTGAGTTTCGAGCAATCAATCCCAATCCATCTAATGATCTGACACGACTGAACGCGATATATGCTTGTCCTTTAGCAAATAGTATAGGTCAGAGGTATACAACAGAGTTAATAAAAACATGATGAAAAAATAGGAATATTATATCAATATAGATATATGACGAAAAAGTGACACTCGCTACAGATGTCGAGTCGAGATGTCATCGAATCATATTTTTTCATTTGTTGCCACAAAAGTTGACAAGAAACTGAATCTTTCGAATTGCCTTATCCGATTCGTCATTGGTGACAATGAATCACGTGATACCATTTGGACCCATGCGCTTTCATATTTTTTCATTTGTTGCCACAAAAGTCGACGTGAAACTGAATCTTTCGAAGAATTTCCATATCTGATTCGTCATTGGTGACAATGAATCACGTGATACCATTTGGACCCATGCGGTTTTGCTCGCAGACAACCTCAGAATTATTAACAATAAAATAGAAAACACATCTTTGAAAGCCTAGATAAGTACACTAATGCACATTGGGCTGAAAAGGGATACAAGTTTCAATATCAACTTCATTTGTTCATATCGAGAGTTGGTCTAACAATTGAACCAGCAATTATTAACATATTAGTTCATATGTATGAAAAAATTTTCATCCTCTGTCATACTTGATTGTATATGGAAGATTTTCGGACATGTCATTATTTGAGGTATATCGTTTTTATCTTGGTGACTTTTCTCTTATTTTAGACCAAATATGTTCCACAGGAAACAGATGACATGTCTGGCTTGAAATTCTGATGAAAAATGCTGTTTCATCAAAATAAGTAGGTAATCACTAAAGATGTACTATGAGAAATGTATAATATAAGAACTATTTTCTTTAATGTAGTTGAGGAATTCAAAACCTAACAATAAATTACCGACCAATATCACTGATATTCAAATATCGCAAAAATATTTGAAAAAGCACTGAAACTAAAAATGGAACATTTCTTAGAAAAATATAAACTTTTGTCGTCTTTCCAATTTGGTTTCAAAAAGCATACATCCACCGAAGATGCAATATGTAACTTAACTGACTCGATTTATCAATGTGTTGACAAAAAAGTGCCATGCCTAACAGTATTTATTGACTTGGCGAAGGCATTTGATACTGTGAGTCATGTGCAGCTATTGAGTAAAGTGTGGAACATGGGCTTCCGTGGAAACTGTCATGATCTCCTAAAAAGCTATTTAACAGATAGGAAACAGGTTGTTAGAATAGGAAACATAACAAGTGAGTCTATGACTGTCACTTACGGAGTACCGCAAGGGACAGTACTAGCTCCTTTATTATTCAACATATATGTGAATGACATGATGAACATCAATATTGATGGAAAAATCTTGGCTTTTGCAGATGATACAGCAGTTTTTTTCTCAGGATCATCCTGGTTAGACGTGAAAACGAAAACTAGTGCAGGTATAAAAAAAATCAAAAACTGGTTAGATCACCATCTCCTGACAATGAATATAGAAAAAACGAAATACGTTTGCTTCTCATCCTACAAAAATAGTCTACCCAATTACACCGAAATCCATATAGAAGATACAAAAATAAATATAAAGTCAGCGGAAAACATGAAGTACCTTGGAGTCATAATTGACTGCCATCTTAAATGGAACCTTCACATAGAACACGTCGTAAAAAAACTTCGATCATTAATATATTGTTTCAGAAAGCTGAGAAATATACTATATGATAAAACCTTATTAACAATCTATAATAGCTTGATTCAATCTATAATGAGATATGGTATATTGATCTGGGGTGGAGCAAATAAAACAAGCATTAAACCACTCGTACAAGTCCAGAAAAGGTTCCTAAAAATAGTACTATGGAAGGACTATTACTACTCAACTTCCAAATTATATTCTGAATCAAATGCTATTAACATACTGAATGTAAGACAAATATATGCAAAACAATTGCTCATCCATCAATTCAAAAATAAAAGCAAACCGCAGATTATAACACATACCTACGAAACCAGACAACAAACAAAAAAACTCATATGCAATCCAAGAATACATAAGTGTATTTCCACAAAGTATTTTCGATACCTTTCCCCTAGATTATACAATGCTCTTACCGATCCCATAAAACACATATTCTCCTATCGTATATTCCAAAAAGAAGTGACAAAGTGGATCATAAGTTTGAACTATACTATATTAGATATATATTTGTAAATACTGGTGAAACAAATGCTCTCAAAAAGTGAATGCTAATATTAATTCAATTTAAAAAGAATGCCATTCTAAAAAATATAATATCACATATACTTACCAAAAATATATATTATATATATACAGTATGATGCAAATGTATGGAATAAATTCATTTCAAAACAAGACGACTTTCGAAAAAAAAAACAAAAACTAGAGTTTAGAACTTTTTTCGACGTATTTTTTTAACTAGACGACCCTTCGATGTTCAATTCTCAGTAGCAGACCTCTGCAAGATTCAATTAATCACATGATAATCCATTTTAATTTCAATCTTCTTATGCAACATTTTGACTGTTGAATAGACGATCGGTAGACCTTTCAATCAAGGTGTCACATGACCCCTATTTGTATTTGAAAAAATCGTCCATTACGTCTTTACTCCAACACCGGTGACGTAACATCTCTCATATGAATACCGTGAGATGAGGCTTCAGAAATTAAAACTCACGTGTTTTTGGAATTTTTTCAAATGTCGCCCATTTCTGAAATGATGAATTTATTCCATACATTTGCATCATACTGTATATACCCAACCAATGTGAAATCAACTAAAAAACAAATATAAGCACTCGTGCACAGTTTAATAACTTTAGCGAGGCTTACACTTGTTTTTTTGGCGGTAGCTGGTCACAAAAAAAAATACAAATCCCAAAATGTAATATGATTATCTTTACCTTTTTTACTTACTACTGTAAATTATAACTATTGTTTGAGCTGTAACTTCTTCTCCAAATAAACATTATTATTATTATTATTAAACATCAAATGTCAAAATACACTAGGAAAAGATACTAATTGACTGGCAATTGAAAGAATTATATAACTTTCTTGTGAAACTTGTCTCAGTACGAACCACTTTTCCCTATGTAGTGCTCTAGTTTAAAATTCTAGTACTGGGTGATGGTTTTCAGCATATAATTAATTTCAATAAATTTCCTTGCAGATGTATAGATCAATGGTTTGAAGTGAACAGATCTTGCCCAGAACATCCAGGAGACTAGCGTTTCTACTGAAGAAATACTTGTGTAAATAATGTAAATATACAATATCCTTGAAGTGGAATTAAATGATACAATCGAAATTGTATAAATTAAGCAACATCAACTAAGTGATATACTGCATAGTAAATAATATATGAGTAAACATTCTAATTACAATTTCAAATTCATAGGAGAGAATTATTGCAATACTGATTTGAGTCTGAGGGTGACATTTTTTAAGGGGAAAATATATGGTGTAGACTGAAAAATATGATTTGGTATTGTTTTGGTTCCATGCAAACAATTCCTCAATAGGACTTTTGAAGTGTCATCAATCTATAAGGGCTATATTTTATATTTTTTCTATGTAAAAAATATCCAATTAATTGTCGTTTGTCGAATATAAAGGTGGCTGCTCAAAATGATTAGTCTGTATAATATGTCTTCACATGTGAATGGAATTAGTAAAGGCATATATTATACAGGCTATATCTACATTTTTAGTAGTTTTGTAGTCGCCTTCATACATGTAGGAAATATTCTCAAATATCATGAGGTTAACGTCTCGTTTTCTGAGTATATGTGTTAGTCTAAGGAATGTTTTCCCTTATCATAGTAACTTTCTTCAATTATCCTGATTAGATTAAAAATAATTATAAATACATATTTTTGATACTATCCTTTTCAATCATCATTGTTCTAGACATTTTATTAATTTAAGATCCCATTGAACACAGCTAATTTGACAATGGGAGTAGTGGAATTTTTTTATTCTTGATTCCTCAGATTCGCAACTATAGCAATATCTACAAAAAGTTGGTTTTTTTTTCACCACTGAAATTTTCATCAACATACATTTTTAAAGTTTAAAATTTAGATAAAAAGATGACAATGCCTATCGATTCATTGAATGACAAATACACTACAATTTATCAAGGAGGGTCAAGGATATCTTTGAAAATATAGTTCATTCATTATTTTCCTTTATAGTACAATCAAATGAAAGAATACATGAAGCTAAAAAATATGAACTGATTGTTGAGCTTTGATAAAATGTTTGATTTGATGGAAAGTGGGTGTTGATGTGTGATATTTTTCAACTTGAAGTGTTCAGAATTATGTTAGATCGACATTCAAAAGACATAACTCAGGAATTGCAGCAGCGTTCAGAGGAATATATGTTTTTTTTGTTTCTTTTTTTTTTCGTGTAGAAAGTTTCAATTAGTTTCACAAACGCTGTACACATAATTTGTTAATATGTTTCATTGCAAGAAATGTTTCATATTATAAATTTTCATATACATTTATGACTCTTGTTGAGTCATAATGAAAATCTAGATAAGAGTTTACTTCATTTGTGGGATTCTAAGGGATCCAGCATAAGATTTTCTCATTTGTTTAATTGAAAATTGTTATTGTAGATTTAGCTATTCTCTCTTTTGTATAAAAAATAACAAAAACAAAACATTCTGATTGGGAAGATTGGAAAAGCTGAATATTTGTCTATGATATAAGAGAACTTTCTACAAGTAAATACATTCTATTTTTGTAATAATCATTCGTAATATTGAATATCACTAAAAATTTAAATGTTCAATTACAAGTATTAAAAAAATATATCGAATTCATTGGTACCTACATTAATTAAATTCAGAAAAAACATAATTTCCTCCCATTTAAGCAACTGTCAAAGATTACCAAATCCTGTTTTAAACAAGGTAATCGATCATTTCAAGAAATATAAAGAAATATATAAAATAAATGTTCCTCATTTTCAATTTGTTATATAACACATTAGGAAATGCGATTTTGAATATCTTAGCAGGAAAATGAAGCATTTTATATTCTGGCAATATAAATAACTTCAGTTTATTGGGAATACATTTTCTAATTCTTGTGTACAGCATTCTATAAGAACAGAAATTTTTGAAATTTTTAAGAGAAAAATATGTCATTTATTTATATTGAAGAAATATCCATATAAATATTGCAGGACTTAGCAAATGGGAGAAGGTTTCGTGGATACATTTTCAAGTTTGTTATCACTGATTTATTGAAATTATGTGCATTGCTAAACATAGCATAGGTTGGTGTTGGTTAAGGTATCCAGAACTTTTCATTTAGAATCATTACAAAATCGGTGCATACTATCAAAGAAATGGAGATAAGTTCGAGCGATACAGTACTTTGTGTCCACTAGTCTGTTACCTTTTTCAATTCGTACTATTCTATAAATATAATATTTCCTGAATAGGTAGGTACATGCCAGAACCTATCCAAATATTTCATTGAGTATATCGGAATCATTTCATTGTGAATATTTCAAATTTGGATACTTAACAAAATGAAACTTATTTCATAATTTGAAATTTTTATTGTATCACAACAGTTTCTGATGCATTATTACATATGGAAATCAGTACTTAGTGTCATAACCTCCAACATGAAACCAACCCTAAAATGCCATTATTTCATCTTGATCACATATTATAGTGTGTATATGTTGACTGATGATGAGTACTTTATCCAATAACCTATCATTTATAAATATGATTATGTTTTGGGAATATCTCCTTCAGGGTAGAACTTGTAATTCGAGTAAGTATTATATGATGATATATCAAAGCCCGAATGAATTTGATCCCAATACCAAGTACATATAAAATGGAACCAACCAAAGACATTTTTTTCGCGGTGATTGCATAAAAAAAGGTGCTAATGTTATTATAAGTTTTATCGTTACCTATATTTTTAGAACCATTGACGTGAATTATTATGAAATTATATGTTCAATCATGCATTTGTTGCAACGAAAAGCTTCTTCTAAAGAAGTGCCATATTTTCATTATAATAAGGTTTAGCCTTGTAGTCATCATCAAAATAAAAATGTAACATTTGCCATGTGGTTTTTATTCAACCTGCTTCCTTTGATTAGAATTTCTCAAGTTTATCATGAATATAAGTTGGTTATTCCATTTAATGAACTTATGTGGCAAATCTTTGTGATCCTGATGAATGCAGGTCAATACAATCTTATAAATAAGAAATAACCCCAAGTCTTGTAGATGATCCGCCGATTGCTGATCAGATAAAAACCATCTGTAAAAGTATTCAGAAGGTGAGGCATCCACAGGTCTTTCCATTTAGATGTTGAAAGACAGTATCGTTTCTATCTGAGAGAGCGGAAGATACTCTTTACAATGCACATGCACAACCATTTTCACCGCACGACACTTCACAATCGAAATCCAATAAATAGAAATGTCACTTCTACTGACATGAACCAAAATTTTCAGAAATAGGTAAAATAAACATTCTCAAAATTGAAGTGAGACAAGTGAAAATTTCTTCCATTTTCGATTCGTCACAACTTTTGATTGGATCAACCAATTTTCAATTTCTTTGAAGATTTTGGAAGCTCATTCCATTGAGCACAACATCAATATGATTTCTTTTTCCACCGTTTCGAAATGATGACCAACAGGATGATATCTGAAAATGTGATTTTGTGAATTTTATAAAAGTTTGAGATCGCCTCGTTTGGCACGCAATCTTTTCAATATTTCACTGAGGACTATAAGATGAAGCATGATAGTTTTCTCGTTGGTTATTTTGGGAGAGAATATGGATGCTGTTCGGTATCGGGACATGTGTGTTAGGCCTAAATCGTGCAGACTTGTTATTGAATTTTTAAGACAACATAATATTGAAGAAATTGAATGGCCACTCTTGTCTCGCAACATGAATTCGATAGAACACGTATGGACTATGTTGAAGTTACATTTGAAGATATGGGAGGGTCAAATGATGCAGTGTTGACGAATTAGAAGACGCGATACTGGAAGAGTAGCTATTCCCCACGAACCATCACGAATTCTTCAATGGTTTGATATGCCAAAAAGAATAAGCGCTCTCGCGTAGGTGCTAAAGGAGGTGCAACAAACTATTGACAATAACAATTATTGTAGTTGTGTTTGTATAATAATGTTAATTTTTAATTTTCATTGAAAATTGATTTATCCAATCAAAAACTATGACGTTTCAAAAATGATAGAAACTTTTACTTGTCGCCTAAGGCGATTAACGACACCTTGACACTATGTCAATCTGGACCAGTCTCAGGTTGTGCCATTTAAACTTGCCAAAAGAGTCCTGTTTGTTTGTGGTTGCTCTACATGCTGAACTTGATTTTTCACCATGACTTTCTTTGGTTAGATCCTGCCATGAACAGAGACAACTATGAAAAAGAAATCAACTTTAGCAAATTCAGCAATACAAACGAACAGGCCTATATAAAAAGTGTGTTTTTTAAAAGTGTTTTTAACCGCCAGCTTAGTTGCAAAGCAACCCTCGAAAGTCAGAGACTTGTGTGAGTTAAGAAGACGGGGACCTTAGCTTTTTAAGTGTCATCCGAAGCACTACTCGGCTGGTAACCGTGGATTTACTTAAATAATAATAGCCTTCTGAAAAGTGACTGGACTTTAATGTTATGTGTTAGAATTGAGAGTGTCACCATTAGTTCTGGTAGTAGGTAAGTCATCAAAGAGGTAGTTAACCCATTTAAGGCCAATATTGCATACACGCAACACCGTACAAACTATTTTTTCGATGCTATATTCTCCAATATTTTATTAATTCCAGACCTTCTATCTGGAAAGCAATAATAATCATCAATTCTCTCCATATTACTTTTATTTTCCACATTAGGAAAAATTTCTAATTCATTATGAAATATGGTAATTTTCATCAATTGCTCAGACCTATGAAAAAGTGGAAATGAAAAATATCTATTCCTCACGTATCGCGTTTCTGTATTCACAATAATAAAACCAAAATACCCAGAAAAATGTAGAATCATCAGGATATCTCAGTTATTTTCCAAAAGCAAGGAAATCATATGAAAACTCCTTTGATGCCTGATGAACATCATTGGCCGGATAGGTAAACCTACTTAGGATATACGTGCGAGAGGCACATGCGCGGTAGCGCAGAAAAAAGTTGCAAAGGTTCGTGTAGTCACA